GCTGCTGCTGCTGCTGTTGTTGTTGTTGTTGTTGTTGTTGTTGTTGTTGTTGCTGTTGTTGTTGCTGTTGTTGTTGTTGTTGTAGATGCCAAAGTACCCACCACCGCTATGTTTGCCCTGCGAAGTTTATTTGTGGTATTTTTGTTCGTAAATCGGCTTCGAATCGACTCAGAAAATCGAACTCAGTTTGATCGTAGGAAGTATAATAGGTCTGATTCCAAACTATTACGATGGTTCGATGAAAAAAAATCTTGAACACCGGTGTGTCCATGATTGCTTAATGCTCCGTGCGGGACCATATCGGACTACGGTCAAAGGTTATCAGAGACAAATTCCGTATGACCATTCCCACTATATTAGCACAGTTTCAAAAAAACGAACTAACAACAAAAACAACTAAATAATGTTTTTAAAAATCAGAAGCCGCCATCGTGGGAGAGTGCACCCAACTTAACAGTGGAAAGACGTCCGCGGTTCACGTTCAGTTCTCTCCCGGTGATTTCGGCCCCCGTCTTGGCCGGCGCGTGCCCGCTGCATAAACAGGACGCCTCGCGCGATGATGGACGCTGAATAGAGGCCTGAGAGAATGATAAATAAAGTGGAGGGAGACTTTGGCAGTGTGTGAGGGAATGTGTGAGGGGATGCACGAGAGAGGGACAGAGTGAAAGAAGGAGGAGGTTGGAAACTGAGTGGAGAGAGGAGACACGAAGGAATTATAAATACTGTAGAGGGGAAAGTTTGGCGATGTGTGAGGGAATGCTTGAGGTGAGAGAGGGACAGAGTGAGGGAGGGAGGAGATTGGACATTGGGGAGAGGCATGAAAGAATTATGAATACAATAGAGGGAAACGTCGATGTGTGAGAGAATCTGTGAGGGCATGCGTGAGAGAGGGACAGAGTGAGGGATGGAGGAGATTGGACATTGAGGAGAGGGAAACTGGTGGTGTGTGAGTGAATGGCAAGTTGGATGGAGGGAGAGAATGAGGGAGGAAAGGAGGAGATTCGACGCTGAAGGGGAGCGAAATGATAAATAAAGTATAAGGAGATTTTTGTCAGTGTGTTGGGTGAATGTGTGAGGGAATGTGCGTGTAAAGGGGGAAATGAGAGAGTGTGAGGGAGAGATTTTTATGACTGTTTTTTCTTTTTAGTATGAAATGATGGATGGCGTTAGTGAGTGAAGGCGGCCGTATATTTATATTCTGCGGTAGAGAGGGTTAATGAATATGTGTTTGGACAGTCATTTATCTTGACAAATTTTATTTCCTTTACGAAAGTTTCGCCCTCCACATCGTTCGCTATTAGCTGTTTGTTTATATTACCACCCCTGACTGCGATACTGAAACCAAAACCGACTACCTAAGCGGTTTAGTGGCTCAAGAATCATTATCCATTCGATTATAGAAAGGCAATAGTTTACACCTGTATAAATATAAATGTATAATGTATCTGCTTTAAATGTTGCAACTCATAAGAGTCTGAAAATATACTCCGATGTGATTCTGGGCTAAGTGATGTCTATATATATACACCAAATTATTAAGTGGAGTTTT